TTTGATCTCTGTGGCAGTATCTACGCGATCGGTGACGTGGTTGCCGGTCCAATGCTGGCTCACAAAGCAGAGGACGAAGGCATTATCTGTGTTGAAGGAATGGCCGGCGGCGCTGTGCACATTGACTACAACTGTGTACCGTCCGTGATCTACACACACCCGGAAGTTGCTTGGGTCGGCAAATCAGAAGAGCAGTTGAAAGAAGAGGTAGTTCTGAATGCGGGGTAGTTTTAATGCCATCGTGTGAATTGAGTTAATGACACTGGTGGTTGAGAATCCTTTTCTTATCGTATTAATGCATTTGGAAATTATGTAGAACATTATAGTTTATATATTTTTTCCTTTGTTGGTGGCATACAGGAGATCATTCACTTGCCTGCCTTCAAACTAGTAATTCCAGAGCTCTTACATTTTTCTTTGAAATATACCCAGATAGACTGACACTTGCATTTGCTTGTGCTTGTACCCAAAATGTATTTCATTAGCAGACAGTCAGTTCTGGTCTTGCCCTCAGTAGACTCCGAAGAATTGCCTTCTTGGGGTTTATTTTCTGAACCAGTGGTAGATGATTGCGCCAACAGGAATGCATTTTTTCAGAGTTTATGTAGGCTCTCATTTTCTGTCTCTCGCAGGGTATTGAGTACAAGGTTGGGAAATTCCCCTTTGCTGCTAACAGCAGAGCTAAGACAAATGCGGACACAGATGGCATGGTGAAGATTCTGGGACAGAAATCAACAGACAGGGTGTTGGGAGCACATATTCTAGGACCAGTGAGTATCCTAAATCCCAAATCCCATTACGATTTCTGGAAAGCGCTGCTGTTCCGATGTAAAGCCAGCTGCTGTTTACATGCCGAGGTTATTAATTACCAGCAGCTTGTGTGCTGTTTCTGACAGCGACCGGCGGCACTCTCACACGCTCGCCTGTCACATCATCTGCTTTCCGCACCGCAACTGACAGTATCCTCTTGAGACCTGCCCTGGGCCCTGGGCCCTGGGCCTGCTGAAAACTCGTCAGTGGCCCTTTTCCGCCTCGGGCTGTTAGGTACAAGGCCCCACTAACTCTGGGCCTGTCTGCCTTCCTGACCTCATGTCTTCCCACCCTTCCCTTTCGCTCGTTAATTCCCTGTCTCATGGGCCTTCTCTCAGTTTCCTAACAGGCCAGTGTTCCCATTTTAGAGCTTTTGTGCTTGTGGAACCCGTAGCTTGGAATGCTGTGCCTCCAGGTGTTTGCATGACTGGCTCCTGTGAGGTCTCAGCTCAGATGTTACCTCCTAAGAGAAGCCCTTCCTACCACTGACCCTGAAGTACGCACTTCCCCTCGGGATCTGCTGTAACGATGATGATGAAACACTGGAGTCCTTAGTTTGTAATATATTTTTCTGTATACATGCAGTAACTTAATGTTCACAATTCTGGGGGGCAGGAGTTGCTCTGCCCATTTTTGAAGTGACTAAATGGAATGACTCACACAGAGTGAGTGCTCGGAGGAACTCCGCAGTAGGATTTGAATCCAGGCCAGCTGGCTCCAGAGCCCAAGCTCTTGTCTTCTGTGCCACCTTTCCTGTTAAGCTTTTCCTGACTGGAGGCAGTTAGTTAACTGCTCTAACAGCGAATCCTGTTAGCTTGTAGTTTTTGCCATGGGAAGAAAATGACTTCTTGGTCTGTTATTTTAAAGGGTGCTGGTGAAATGGTGAATGAAGCCGCTCTTGCGCTGGAGTACGGAGCATCCTGTGAAGATATAGCCAGAGTCTGCCATGCGCATCCGGTAGTTATCGACAGCATACAGAATTAATGGTTACCTCAGGTTTCTTCTCACCCACAAATATTTGGTTTCTAATTTTAAATTTCTTCCCTTACAGACCTTATCAGAAGCTTTTAGAGAAGCAAACCTGGCTGCATCATTCGGCAAATCAATCAACTTTTAAATTAGAAGATTATATTTTTCTGAAATTTCCTGGGAGCTTTTGTGGAGGTCACATTTCTGAACAGGAAATGCTCACAGCTCCAAGAATTTCTAGGACTGAATTATGAAACTTTTGGAAGGTTTTAATAGGTTCGGACAGAATGGAATAATCTCATCTATTTTAAATAAATTTAATACTTTGTTTCAGTGCATTAATATTGCAGAAAAAAGCTACTTTTATAGTAGCATCCAGGAAAATTTTTCATGCAGTTTCTGAAAGATTCGACTTCACTAAATTTATGTTTCTTAGCTTTTATCTCTGCTATTGTAAAGTTGATTTACTTACATGGATGGAGCTGGCGTAGGTATGTGAGCCAGCTGTGTTTGAAGCAAGGTGATCAAGTTATTTTAAACTTGGTTTTCATATTGGAAACAGTCATTAGAATTAAGATTAAAATATGTATAAACCAAACTGATGTAAATACAACGATGATCTCTCACTTATTTAATCCCCAAATTCTTGCAGTTTAGAGGTAGAATTTATGTTTAAATTTTTAAGGACCCATTGAGGTCTACAGTTAACCAAATTAAGGAGGTGTATCTGTGAAATTCAAATATTAAATGAAGATGTAAATGTATTACAGCGGGGAATGAAAATACAGAAATAAACAGTCCTAAATATTCATGTACTGGTTGTTTTGAGTGGATGTCAAGATGGTCCTAGTTCTTTTATGACTACCTATAGTGTATATTCTTATTTCTGTTTATTATTCCTCTTCTAGGCCTGGATCTATCTTTTTACCACACTGGGGGACAACATTAAGGCATTTAAAAGGTCATTACCCTTTCATCTGTTTTAGTATTACCAACTAACTGGAGCATACACTTTTGGAGACACAGCATATGGGAAAATTTAATCCGCTGTCTTTGGATTTCCAGTGTATCTGTGGCTGGGTAAATGACTATTTCTTTAAAGAGTGCTATAAAATCATATTTGTTGATTAATGTTTAAAATGGCCAGCTCTTGAAACACTTCAGTAACAAAGTATTAAATGTTAAAATAGGCTTTTGCGTTTTTTAACTAAATTTAAGAATCAGATTTAGGATAGCATATTCTAAAAAGGAAAAACTTAAAGTACTAGAAATATGCAAACTAGATACTCACTTGATTGCAACTTCTTCTATGTCCAGTAGTCTTGGACTCTACTATAGTTATTATGAACGATCCATTGTAAAGACTCTGGATTTTCTTACCTACCTCTGAAAAATAGGGAATTTCTGTTTCAGTGGGCAGTTAACTTGGCTGAACCCCAACTGCATTGTCTTTGCTGGGGGGCAGCAGCTGAAACATCTACCCCGTTGTTTGAGCTCTACCTCGGCTGCGTTGCGTCTGTCCCGTGCGTGTGTAGTGCATAGCTCAGCCGGACACTGGGCAAATGATAGCAGAGTTGGGAGCCCCCCCCCCCATGTATTAGTTATTCTAGTTGCCCCTGACTCAGTCCTTCAATTCCTTAACCAGTAAAACTTGGCTTCCCCCCGATGTCATACTTGGCTGGGACCTGCCCTCAGGTGAAAAGCCATTAACAATGGGAGTTTCACCCAGTGCTGTTCTCTGTCAACTCCCCTCTCCAGGACCTTTACTTTAAAAAATATCTATTTTGTTCAGTTTGCAGTAGTTATTAGCAGGAGGGCTGGCCTGACATGTGCTACTTGGCCATTATTGGAAATGACCTCTGTGTTTTAAAATCTGAAATCCCGGGCGCCTGGGTGGCTCAGTTGGTTAAGCGACTGCCTTCGGCTCAGGTCATGATCCTGGAGTCCCGGGATCGAGTCCCACATCAGGCTCCCTGTTCGGCAGGGAGTCTGCTTCTCCCTCTGACCTTCCTCCCTCTCATGCTCTCTGTCTCTCATTCTCTCTCTCGCAAATAAATAAAAAATTTAAAAAAAAATAAAATCTGAAATCCCGATATTCTGTGAAGTGCTAGCTTATTTAAACTCCAGACATGTCCCCTACTCTAGGGAAAAAAAAATAGTGAGAAATAGAGTTTAATATGAAGTCCTGGCTATAGAAACACACAAAATAGTTCTGTCTAGGTGGGAATGAAGTTGTGGGTATAAAACAGATTTAAATGTTCACTTATTTACTAAGTTCTTAGTATTTTCTTGGCTTGTGAAGGGTGGGAATTAGTTGTCCAGTTCCCTGAGCTGATGAAAATGAGTGATTTCAAAGTGACATCTTGAGTTGTTTAGCTAAAAAGGAGTGGGTACAGGTAAGGATTTCTATTTTAAGTGAAATACTTAAGATTAAGGGAAAAAAATTAGTTGCTGTAGCAGATGATGAGGTAAAACCAATTTGCTGGGCAGTAGGCTCTCTACCTAAATAAAAGTGACAAGTAATTGCCTTGAAGGAGAGGGAGGTTGCCTTATTGTTTATATTACATCTGTTTACATAACTTCGGTTCAGGCCCAGAGTGCTACACAGAACTTGTCTTGCTCTAATAGGAATTTGTGAAAAGACCACTTAGGCCTTGCTTGGCCCGTTCTCCAGCTCAGCTCTGAGGTTGACATGGGTTTGGCAGTTGGAATTCAACTGTTTTCTTTATCCTGTGGAATAAGTGATTGTTCTGTCATTGCTTTGGCCTCACATACAGACTGTAGCAGAGAATCTTTTAGTTTGTGAAATCTAATAAAGTACAATGGAAACACTGAGAAGTTACAGCACTTTATACTGTGATTGGCACTGCTTAGTTGGCAGGAGCAGTGTTCCTAAACTCCGGCTGGATTTCATTTCAACCTCCCCCCTCCACCACCCAGCATAGGGCCAGGATTGCTCACGCTTAAAAGTCAGTTTACCCGCCTGATTTTCTAAAAATTGCTTTTTGTTCTCTTTCTCAGAGCAATGAGTATTTAGAGGAGTTTTGGAGATTGGAGCAACTGAGCTGCCACTGAAATGGTGAAGGGGGTTCAGGCTGTATGACTTCCCCTCCCCTCCGCCTGGGCACCCCACTGGGAGGTGGTCCGGGGGGCAGATGTGTGGAGGATACTGACCTAGCAAAAAGATGATCGCTTGTTTATAGACAAAACAGAAATCAGGGTCCCGTGAAGGCAGTTTGTTTATAAAACCATTTTACATTGAAAAGATCCTAGCTTCAAGGGATTCACAAACACTGAGTAAAAGTAAAATTTAAGAATTATCCTAAATATAAATTTTTACAAAAGGACTGTACTTTATTTAACTCCGTACAAAATGTGGTGATTAAAAACATTAAATAGGTAAGGAGCTGTATTTTGAAGATCATGAAGTCAGTTTTTTAAATGGAGCTCTGTTACTTTGGTCACCTTGGCCACCTTCGAGCCCTTCCTCCTCCTCCTCCTCCGTTACAAGCAGGTGCTATAAACAGCAACTTTCTGGCTTATATCCTTTAGGAGCGAACGCACCTCTCCTTCCAGTCTTACTAATTCTTGAGCTTTATCTTCTAAATATTTTTGATTGTCCTCATATGTTCTTTCTAAATCTGTGGGAGATAAAAAAAAAAAGTCTGAGCAAATTATACTAGGATCTCCATCTCCTACTGATCCTTTCTGCCTATAAGGCCCAAGACAAAGTGAACAGATTTTCAACCTTTTAAATAAACTCCACGGAGGTCTTAATTTTAAAATACCTTATGAAAGCACGAGCCTAAGACCCACCTTTCAGAAGTTGCAGCTTGCTGTTTGCTTGAGCCAGAAGTGTTTTTGCTTCATTTTGTAGCATTTCAGCTTTCCTTCTGGCATCTGCTGATTCTTCGGTTTTTTTGGCAATTAATTTTTCTACCTTCTTATACTTCTCATCAACTTCACCGTCCAGAGCCTGCAGTTCCAAGTAGACAGAGAGGACACATGTAATCTCTGACACTAAGAGTGTCCTTGTGGCAAGCTCAGAAGGGTACTCAGGCGTTAAACCATTTGGTGTAAATAATAATTAAATATTCTGAAACAGTGGAATTAAATACAACACTGACATACGAGTTTTTTTAAAATGAAGGATTTGAAAGACATTTTGGGAGTTGAGCAGGTCTCCAGGGCTAAGCCTTTATCTTTTCAGCACTTTTCTCTGGAGACGTCACAAGATAATTATACAGAGGTAAAAAAGTAGGTTTTCTGTAAAGTAGGTTTGCTGTGATCCAAACCTTTAGATATCAGAAAAGGCCCATTTGAAGAGCCAAACAGGAGGACCATCTGGATTGTGACTAGTGTAGGATGTGTAGAGATTTAAGGGAAGGAAGGAAAGAAAGAGGAGATGGTAGCATATGCAGGGATGGTGAGGAGATGAGAAATTGGTGTGGGTTTGACAAGGTGCTTCTTGCAGGTGCTTTTGAGAAACACTGCTCAAACAGTAGCCATTGATAGAGGGATTTCAAGGTCAGGGTCTTGTTCATCTTACTGTAATCAAATGCTGTGTTTTTGGAAAAAATGCTCTGTAAAAAGACTACTTGGGCGACGTATGCTCTCAGAACCACGAGAAAGAAAAAAACCACAACAGAAAAAACGGACAGAGTAGTGCACTTTTCTTCCCGTTTTGTTCTCTTCCCCAACCAGAGGTGGAAGGAGGTCACCCTTCTGTAATGCCTAAAAGCTACATTAACCTCAAGGAAAAATCTTGACTAAATTTCCATTTATAACTCCCTACTGTTCATTTAACGGTTGACACATTCCCCTCAAAAGTGTAAAAAGGTTTCTTTGGAGATAAACATTTGCCCGCTGAACGTATGTTTTAATGATTACGTTGCTTCTAGTGAAAAATTTGGGTTGTATGAGATTTTCTCTGCAAAACATAGTACCTTCCAGTGAGAAGGAAGGGGTGGTTAATTCAGAGTGAGTGTAGAAGATGTGAGATTTAGTTCCTGCTAGCAGTTCTGTGACAGACGCCTTAAGCTTTTTCTACCCTGCTTTTCAAGACTTCTCAAATGGCCAAGTAATTACCGTATGCCATAAAGGCCTTCCTAATTGAATTAGCAAAGTATAAGCTCTGTGTATTTTAAGACTTCCGCCCCTAATTTCATTTTTTGCCTCCTTCTCCAAGTCTGGATATGAGGGCTTAGGTCACGCTTCTTGGACACCTTCCTTTCCACTCCCACTCTTTTCCATCTGGGTCTCTAATGACTGCTATTTCAAAACGGATCACTGGGGATATTTCTGATGAATAGCTGTTGGGTCCATGTCCCTTACTGGTTCCAAGGAAGGCAACGAGGAGACCGTTGCTCCTTTATGAACACAGTTGGGAAGTTACAAAGCTTTCTTACCTTTTTAACGTCATCTGCGCTTTGTTTCACCGTGTACACCACTTTTTCAATATATTCTGCCTCCCCAGAGTTCTGGGCTGCCTTCCGCTTCAGTTCTTCCACGTTCCTCTCTAGCTCGCTGATGCGCTGAGAGGCGTTGAGCAAAGTCTCCTCAGAAGCAGCGGTTTCAGACTCAATCTGCAAGTATAATGTCAGTCACCCAGCCAGCCATTAATTGAACAACAAGTAGTTGGGCGTGCTAGGAATACAAATTTAGAGGAAGACTAAAAGGCTGCTTTGCTGTTTTGCTCTGGACCCAAAGAGAAAATTACCAAAAGGATAATAAAATTTCAGGAAAGCTTATATAAAGTGCCCAACTTTATTCTTTTCGTAATTCTGATGGTCTCGGCTGGAAATTCATGTAAACTTCTTACTGAACCACCCCCAGACAGCTTGATGGGTTGAGAAAGCATTTTAAGGACACCTGCAAGCTTTGGCTAAACAATGGTCACAAATAAGCAGATGTGAGAGGAAGGATTTCCACAGAAATTTCCAAATTCATGTGGGTGGGAAAATGGTAACTCCCAAGTCACCTTTAGTTTTTCCTGTCAACTCTAAATGTTAAATGTTAAACTCTAATGGAGGTTATGGGTCTTCAGAAACTATCTGGAAAGTTGAGTATTCTCAGCTAATTACTAAAGGCAGACCAGAAATGTTCTTGAAAACTCAGAAAAGTCACTCTAGGACTGTGAGATGGCATGTCGTCTGGGGAAGTGATGGCTGGAACCCATAAACACTCGAAGTCATTTGGGAAAAAAATATCTGGGTAATTGGTGAGGATCCATATATCTCTTTTCAAAGAATAATCAGTAAACATTGATTTTGAAAAGCAAGCCCAAGTAAGCAGCCTGACCCATGACAGAAGAACCAGTTTCACTGAGCACCTAGTTTTTTTTAAATAAATTCCCTTTTAGGATGGGTCTATTCCATAGAATTAAGTCTGAGTAACAATAATGTCATAATGAAACTAGTAAATCAATATAGACATGGCAAAATTTGTATTTCAAACCAAATGATTGTTAAGTTCACCCATCAACATAGAAAAATATTCTTAGTAGTTTTAATTCTTAGAAGATAAGCTTTATAAATGAGTGAATCAATTTTGACAAGCTTTCATTAATAGCATAGTTTAGAAGTTATTTTTGCTTAAGACTTTCTTTTTGCTTCTTAAATGTTTCCTGTCCCCTAGGGTCCCTGAAAAAAACTATCATTCACTTACATCGTCAAGCCAAATAATGTTACCTATAATTTGATTAAATCTTATATTTTCCATTTTGCTTTTCAAAACTTAGTAATTTTTTAGAAAGATATATTTTAGAGAATCTCAAGCAGACCCCTGAGCCGACCGTGGAGCCTGACTCCGGGCTCGATCTCCCAACACTGAGAACATGACCTAAGCCGAAACCAAGAGTCAGAGGCTTAACCGACTGCATCACCCAGGTGCCCCAAAACTTAGTAATTTTTATAAAGTCAGCTAAATAGATAAAGTTCGTTAAAATGTTAACAGCACACTGAGAAATTTGCAAAACCTTGGAGATAAAAAATCAGAATAATCAAAGGGTTAGAACATAGTCTAGTGGGAAAATGTAATTTTTCTATACTTGAACAAGAAAGGGCCTTAACTCAAAATTTAAGAAGGAAAAGTGGCCGAGGAACAGTCGAGTCTCATTTATTGAGCACGACAGAATAGGGGAAGACAGGTTTCTATCAACCAATGGTAGGAAAAGCAGGTTGAAAGACCACCTCTCAGGTTTTAAACATTAGGGGCTGTTGGCCTGGGAAGCGTGACAGTGCAGACTAATGGTATCTAATTTCAGAGTATATTCTGAGAAGTGGGTAGGGATCATAGGAGTCCATTTTATTTCCTATCCATTTTTATAAAACAAATGACCTTTCCTAAAATTGGATGGAAAGATTTGCTTGTAGGACTGCCTTTTGAAAAATGACAATTATACTTGAATTACTTTTAAGTGATAGGATTTTTAGAATAAAGCACTAAGTCCATGTGAAAAACTCTTCATGTATACTTTTTAATATTTTGTAGTCCCTGAGTCAAGAGCATTCTGCTTATGGTAAGTTTTTGGGGCTCCTGGCTGGCTCAGTCAGTAGAGCATGTGCCCCTTGATCTGGGGGTCGTGAATTTGAGCCCCACATTGGGCGTTGAGTTTACTTAATGCATTCTGAGCAAAACAGATTGTTTAGCTATAAGGTCCCTATCAGGTTTGTCTAGAATTGGGGACTGGAAGCATTTTGACCTTCATTGCTCTCCAGCGGTTTTTAAAATTTACAGTAAAATTTTGTGAATGCTTACCTCCTAAGTTTTGAGATACAGCAGAAGTTTCCTAAAACTAAATTTTGAAATTAATACTATCCTTCCTACTGCTAAAGAGTGTCTGTGTGAGTCCTTGAAGGAAAAGGGAGATAGAAACACATACACTTTGAAAGTGAAGGGGGCTTAACTAAGATCCAGGGTCTTCAGGGTCCTGTAGCACCCGCGCTCACGCAGTCGTCTGGCTTTTCCTGAAATTAGGGCAGCCCTTCCATGCTCAGCTGTGAGAGTGCACGTCACTGTCAAAGGCACTTGCTTTGCAGGTAGAGTTTCTGTGAGTGTTCTCTCCCCCCACTATCTTACCGAAGTGAGCAGGTTCTGGGTTCCCTGGATGTCTTCATCTGCTTGCTTTATGGCTTTCTCTGCGGCAATCTGGGCCTTTTCTGCTTCCTCCAGCGCTTCCTTCACCATGTCTGCGGTGACTTTAACATCAGTTGCACTTTTGCTGGGTGAAAGAAGGAGACGATCTATGTGAACATGAAAATGTTACTTCCTCTCAGACATTAAAAAAAATTTAAACAACAGCCTCTTGGAATGACCCAGAGAGACTCCTACAGGTCAGTCTTAGAAATCTCCCCGGTTAAAGAAAGACTTTTTGCTCCCTGCTAGACACAAAACAGAAGCCCCCTAAATGCCACAACGTCTTCAGATACCTGGCTCTCTTAGCTTCTTCCAGCAACATCTCCGCTCTGGCAACGTCAGCAGCGCTTTGCTGTAGAATAACCTCGACTTGAGAAAGGCTTTCAACTCGTTCCCGAATATCTTCTGTCAAGTTCTGTAACTGCTGCGGGGTGCTGGGCATCTCCATCTTCAGTACTTCGTTAGCCACTGCTTCGATGCTGTCCAGGTCCGCACTGTCCTCTGTGAAAAGCAAAGACGTCCCCACAGAGAGGCCAGAGTCACAGATGGCTAACTTCGTCACTTCTCGTCACCCACCAGGTGAACTGCCTTCTGGGGTGACACCAAGACATAGCCACTTCCTGTTTAAGAATTTATAGTCTAGGGGCGCCTGGGTGGCTCAGTCGCTAAGCGTCTGCCTTCGGCTCAGGTCATGATCCCAGGGTCTTGGGATCGAGCCCCACATCGGGCTCCCTGCTCCATGGGAAGCCTGCCTCTTCCTCTCCCACTCCCCCTGCTTCTGTTCCCTCTCTTGCTGTGTCTCTTTCTGTGAAATAAATAAATAAAATCTTTAAAAAAAAAAAAGAATTTATAGTCTAGTTGAGTAGTTACGTGTGGAGAAAGTAACTACTGGAATTTGCTGTAGACTGGGAAAGTCCGGGAAGGCTTTTGTGGAGGATGAAGAACTGATAAGATTTTGAAGGATAATGGGATTTGAAGGGAAGAAGATGGACATCTCTGGGTGGAGAGACTGTATGGGCCAAGCATGTCCCGTCAAAGTCCAGCAGAGTGAATGGTTCAGATTACAGAAGAGCAGCAAGTGGGGGAGGGGCAGAGGGAGAGGGAATCTCCAGCAGACGCTGCGGTGAGCACAGAGCCTGACACGGGGCTCAGTCACACGACCCTGAGATCATGACCTGAGCCGAAACCAAGAGTCAGAGGCTTAACTGAGCCACCCAGATGCCCAAGTAGCACTTTTAATTGACGTTGGAAGAATAGCTAGACTACTGCAAATGCAGAGATAAAGAGCTGATATTTCTTACATAAATTATCTGGATTCTGGAAGTTACAGGAAGGGAGAAAATCCAGGCAGAGAAGCAAGAGAATCTGATAGCATATTATCACAGAAGCCAAGGAATTTCAAATGTCTAATGTGAAAAGTGGTCAGAAAAATGCCCAAGAGGTTAAGCTTCAAACATGTCATTGATTTAAGGTTTTTTGTTTTACTTTTTAACTATTAAAGAACATAAAAATGGACCCCTAAGGGTTTAAGCACGGGAAAACATTTGATCATGTGATGGCTTCCACAGGATATTTCGTAAGATAGCCATAGGAATACCATTGGCTCCTTTCTTACTCCCCATTTTCCTTGCTAACAGAATACTATTTTGTTCAGGCGCCCACCACTAAGAGAAGGTAAACTTAGCAACTCAGAGTTAAATGCTGATTAGTCTGCCAATGATGGTAATCCCATTCCATTTGACATTTATGCATGGGATGGGATGCTTTCCTGGCCCGTGAGATTTATCGGGATGACTGCTCCAGGCGTCTGGAGGAAGATTTCCTTCCTTTAGAAAAGATACAGTAGGGAAACAGGTCGTCTCTTCTTTCACGAGGGATTGTCGAGGCTTTGTGTGAAGTCTGAAACTTTGGGCAGCCACCTTGTAACCAGGAGCTGGCCCGAGAACAAAGCAGATACCCTTTACTACATGAGCCCCAGAACCTCTTGCTATGTGATACAGTATGCATCTTTTTTGATTGAGGCCATTTCAGTTGAAAGTTTTGTGTAACTTGAAGCCAAAACCATCCTTTACTGATGACACTCAGACTGTGACCAGAAACACTTAGCTGGACCACAAACTAGAGATTTTCTCTTTCTCTATAGAACATGAAGGGATGGAGCTAACCATAAGTATGGTGTCCTGTAAATAAGAGGATTACAAAGCTTTGCAGGCAGCGTCAAAATAAGCTACTGCTTTGAGGATCTAATGACATTCTATGTAATCTCTAACAGATTCCAAATTCGTTCTCACAGCGTGTGTTTGACTTGATTCCTACTTGGGTATCCCATCTGTGTCTGCATAACATCAGAGAAGATGACTTACGTACACACAGCTTAAGAAATGCCAACATTTCTTAACATGGACTTTTTCTTTTGAAATGTGACTTTATTCCCAGCCAGAAATGGATTTTCTCTAAAATGCAGACTTGAATTCTGGTCTCTCAAACACAGATTCTTGTAAAACATTTTTTATGTTCGACAAGAAGAAGCAATGTCTAAAAGTCAAATGAAAACAACTTACGGGTCAGAAAGTTTCTGATTTGCTTGATCAGATTCCTCAGGTCCTCGTTGCTCTTGTCCACTTTTTCTTTGGTAGCATTGGTTTTCAGCAGAACATCCTGAGCATTCTGTTTTGCCTCATCTGCCCTCAGTTTTGCTTCAGAGACCTAAATATGAGGAATAAATGACCCAGGGAACAACTTCACTCTTTCTACGGCAGACCAGAATACTATAAATGGCCCGGAAAGTGACGCTGAAAAGCTATGCATTTGGAACCATGGGTTTTAGAAACAAATGTCTCTCATTCAACTGTACTGTGTTCCTCTATGGACAGAAAGTACTCTGTCTAGAGCTGGCCACACAATTTCTCATACAGATCAGGCTAGCATATAAACATTTTTTTCTAATTGTTTCTAACTCCTCCGAACCATTTGGTGGCCTATAAAACAGGATATTAACATGGTCGCTTTAGAAAAATAAATGCTCAGCTGCTCAGCATGAAATTTTTATAGCACAGCTCAATGTATTCATAACCCTGGACCCATGATAAGTAACAAATGATCTCAAATCACTGTCATGAGAAGAGAGCAAATTCTTAAATATTCTGTGAAGAAAACCTCCCTGTGTATTTTTTTCGCTGACTTCACAACAACCGGCACTTTGACACTTGACGTGTCCTTGCCATGTCCCTTTCATTTCACCATGGAACACCGATCTCTCCCTTCCAGATCCTCTAGCCTGTCACTGAGAGCCAACACCACAAAGCGAGGCTGCCCCCGAATTACCATCTTGGAGAGCTGCTCCACCTCGGCCAGCGCGCTCAGGACGTCTCGGTCGAAGTCCATGGCTTTCTGCCAGGCTCCGTGTGCCACCGTGACCAGGCCCCCGCAGCCGGGTCCCCCACACTTCTTCTCGCCTTCGTCTGTTCTGCAGCTGGGGCCGCCACACTCCGTCTCGGAACACGAGGCCCCTGGGGGCGTCCCGCAGGTCTGCAACAAGGGGGAGCAGGCCCTGGCCTTCAGAGGGAGTCTGAAGCTCAGCACAGCTGTGCAGGGCCTGGGTGGCCCCAGAGAGCGTGTAGGTGGTCCTTGGCAAGGGTGCTCCAGGGAGCACAGTGCTCGGGCGGGGCGGGGGAGCGGGGAGAGGAGCACAGAGCTTAGGAATAAGCTAACCTACTCACTGCCAAGGAAACAGAGTTTACGACGCTTCACCAGTGCCCTCTGCCCCGATGAACTGGAATGCCATCTGGGTGCTGCGTGGGGTGCAAACTGATCTGCTGTGAGGCTGAAATCTGCCAACAGGAGAGCAAAAGAATGCTTCCCCTTTATCCTAAATCACTGGACTAAAAAAAAAAAGGTATTGAGAAACTGTCCTGGTCCATAGAGTGACCTAGAAGGCTCCTGTCTGGCCTTTCAGTACCTTCAGATCTAGTGAGGAAGACAGGCTCACTCTCCGTAAAACAGCCAAGAAGAGGTCACGTGCTGTAAGTAGGAAGGAAAGCAGACAAAGGAGAGAGACCATGGAGGCTTGTAGTCATCGGGGAAGGATGAGCTGGCTGGTGGGATTTGAGCAGGGAAGTGGGAGAACATTCCAGATGTGAAAGGGAACCAGAAAACAGAAGGAACAAAGGTAGATTTAACTTTTACAAGTAAGCAATCCCCCCCCCCCAGTTCTCCCTCCCCATACTCCTCTTCCTTACCTATCAGAAACTTCCAAAGATCTGAGCCTGGCCATGGCATACACACGCAAACGGATAAATGATTAAGTTTGCTATATGATGGAAAAGGCCGAGCAGGGAGAAAACTGTGGAGCTGTCCTCTCACGTTGAACAGAGATAGTGAAAAGCAGGTAATGCTCCCCGACAAGGAAAAAGTAGTTTTTGAATAAATAGTCAACTCCTTAGACTAATAGTTTTATGATAATTATAATTCCAGTGTGTCTCAAAATAATGGACTTTCATGTATCTGGTTTATAGCATATAAAAAGCTTCAGAGAAGAAAGTTTATTCTGCGTGCTCTAGAAGAACGGGGGCCTTAAGGGAAGCATAAGGGCTCAGGGATGCTTTCTAAAAACACTCTGACAACACATGAGGAGATCTGTTTTATTTCAGCCGCAGGCATGAAAAAAATGGCATGGGTCTATCTAAATATACACAAAACAAAGAACTGAAGGTACTTGAAAAACACAAAGGGACAAAAACCTCTCTATCCAAGAACTGTCAGTATGGAACCCGTAAAGAGAGATCGCAGAGGAGAATTGCATACATCCAATGAGCAACCAGAAGCTGGCCAACCCCAAGGTTAGCTCACCCGATGGAAAAGCAACCACGGGGAAAGGGCACCCATTCACACGGCCCCCCACTCCCTCACTACCCTCTGTTGCAAAGCAAACATCCTTCAGCACGCTCAGCTGCTTTCGCTTTAGTGCGTGGATTTTGTTTGTGATTACTGGTTTTTATTGGAATTTCTAAGGAATTAATCCCGAAAGGAAAGACTGAGAGAGCTGTCATCCCACGCCTGTATATAGTTACTTTGTGCCCTACAAAGCGCAGTGGGCACATTGCTCTGGGCCCCCATGTTTCTATTAAACCATGACAGGAGATCTACCTTACTCCCTAGTCCCACTACATGCTATAACGTGTGATAAGAGAATCTATAACCCTGTAGGCAGCAATTACATTTGGCACAATACAGTAGCAGCGACAGTGTGTTTTTGCCAACTGCAGAGAACGTGAGATGGGCAAGGTAAGGAGGCAAGGAGGGAGGGGAGGGGGCTTTTCACTAAAGACAAAATCCCAAGGAAGCCTGCACCGTCCCCTTGGCCTTTCTGCATCCACCTGCCTCTTGCTATTACTGTTCCTCTGTGTTCCTAAGCTAAGAGACCACAAGCCTTATTCTATAAACAATACCCTCCAAATTCTCTCAGTAGGTGTCCTTCCCTGAAAAACAATAAGGAAACAAGAGGACAAAACAGGCAGAGTTTGGCTTTTTTTGGCCTTCTGCCAGATCTTCATTAAACTCACTACTCAATTTCGTTTGGCTCCAGAGTTACTCTTTAAAAGCTTCTGGGAAATGAATCTACTTTCGCGGTTGGTCTCAGGGTTAATCTTCACCAGGTAAAGTTACTGGGACAAAGGAACATTCGAATTTACACCAAGGGAAAAATTCTTTTGCTCCCTTAATTTTTTCAAGTCCCTCCCAGAATGGTTCCTGAAACTGCTCCACGGAAAAGGGAGTTTGCACTTCAAATTAGAACTATGTAAAAAAAGAAATGTCCACAGTCTAAAGGGTTCAAATTTGAATAGGAAATCAGCAAGTCAGTGTAACAGTCTGGGAAAGTAGTCCTGATTCTTTGTATCACAGAGAAACCTCTGGAACCCGGGGGTGGGGGTGGGGGTTTGTGGGGGAAGGAGGGTGTGTGTGGAAAGGCAGATGTTGTTTTGATCTGGCTGGATGGTGGGTACCCATAGGTGGTCCAGAGACTAGAGACCGGTTTCACTCCCGCTGGTTCATTTGCAAAGTGAACAGGATTATAGACAAAACAGGGTCGTTTCTCTTCCTATTGCATCCTAGCCTTGGGGCCAAACCCTCAAAAACCTTACCATTTCAGCAGCTGCTGAAAGGTCCAGACTTTGTAGTTTGCCTGCCAGTTCATCCAGAAGGCGGGCCTGTTCCTCTTGTTTTTCTCTGAACTGGGCTTCTCGCTCCATCATCAAGTCTTCGACTCGGTCCCGGGTGAGCGCCGACTGCTCCACGGTGCTGTTGGGGTCTGTGGTGGAGGCGTTCACCCTCTCCTCTGCCGCTAGAGACATCTGGAAGTACTTGGTAATGCTATCCAAGGCACCTAGGGCACAAAATGGAATCGCCCACAGTGAAACCTCTTGTGCTCAGTCTCAGGAAGCGATGGCGTATCTGGTGTCTGCCCCAAAACTGACTGTATGATTTTGCTCTAAAATTCAAGGACTAAAATCTTTAGGAAGAAACATAACTTTCCCCTCATGAGCAATGGCTACACTGTGTCCCATTAGCAGCTATTCTGGCTCTGGAGGATGCCAAACATCTGGATGCAAAATTAACTCAGTCATGCAGATGTTTCTGCAAACAGGCGATCTTCCAGTTCTCAGTCAACAGCCAACAGCATCAGGCGGCCCGCAGATTACATACCCAGATATTTTTTCTTCTCTTTTCCTACTCATTTAACTATTCAGAGCCACTCAAATGGCTAGTATGACATATATAAAACAGCATGGCATACTGTGGCTTTGAGGACCTAGCCAGAAAAATAAAGGGTTGTGCACAGAATAGGATGGTTAGTGGGATCTGATGCTGCAAAAATTCTTCCCTGACCAGGCAACATTCTTGAATATAAAAGAATTTGCTGAAATATCAATGTGATTTCTGAACTATTCACAAGAGCGCATTTCCAAGAAATACCAAGGAGGTTAAACCATCCACTGAAAACAAATCAGGAACCGGATGCCATTCCGCTGCTCACTTCACGGAACCTCTCCCGGGTCTTAGGCTCTCCGAGTCCCAGGTCGCACATTTGTGACCGGGGGCCTTAATCCTTACTTGTGCCAGAGACTTGGTGAGAAAAAGCTCTAAGATTATTAGAAAGCACTAAATTTTATTCTGAAAGTGCCGTACTAGAGGGTCAGACAGTGTGTTGAATCCATTGTCCGGGACTGCGTATTTGCACAAAAAAATGCTCACCCCGAATATCTGAGTTTTTGATAAATTCCAATTGCTCAGCAAGCTCTTTCACTGTGTTGTCTAGGCTTTCCGCTTCTGCCTGCAGAGCATCTAGTTCTCTGGCTGTGCTGTTGCTTTGTGAAGCTGTGTCAGACAATCTCACTTCTACTTGAGCCATCTTTTCCGAAACGTCTTTGGTTAATTTCCTGTAAAGGGGAGGAGAAGTTTGCCTAAGTAAAATAAACCAAAGGGGAGTTCTGAAGTCTCGTTTTTATATTTTCTAGAAATCCTGTACCCCTTACTCTGTGTTTTCAAACCAATTCCGTACTTTCTAACTATTTCCAAGTCCTGGTTTTATTCTCTTCATCATTAAGAGACTGTATACTAATCTAACAATTTTCCTTTCTTCCAAGACTATGAAGAAAAACACAGAAGCGCCAATCAGCTGTGTTGTGGCGGAAGTTCCTGAAGGGATTCTGAGCACCTGAGCAAAGGTCCAGGGCAGGGAGCTCCAGCTCTGAATGTAAGCAGCGTCAAGTCCAGACAGTCCCACAACTCAAAAGACATAAAGGACTCCAGTGTAGAATTATACTTCCCGGCCACCTGCCGAGAAATGCTCTTATCTAAACCTCAGGGATCACCGTCAAGATGGGACATGCAGAAAGGAAGTCTCACAGCCACCAGGAACCCCGGGACCCGCCCACAGCTTTTCATATACTTCCCCCGGTGGCAAGGTCCCATCCAAGGACCCTCCTACTTCCACCAACAAGCAACCCTTTTATTTCTCATAAGAAAGGAGGTAGTATCTACCAGGATGGACTTCGATACGCAGTTAGCTTTCACAATATTTCATTTGGAATCTAAACCCACTGCATTTTCTTCTGTATTTCACATCCCCAAAGCTGTATTTTAAGCATCTATTTGTACATTACTTATAAATACAGTGTGTGTGTATGCATGTATGTATGTGTGTATATGTATATATTATAACAAAGAAAACAATATTTGAGAAGACCTCGGCTCTGGGCTTTACTGGGTCACCTAATTCATTGTCTCCTCAGGGAAATACTAGTCAGTATAAAAAAACACTGGGAAAACATAGTGGGGGATAAAAGGCTGGGGGCCATTTGAAAAACGCCATTTAAGGCTGAGATAAAACCATGATCCAACTCAAAAAGTACTACAAAGGATTTGTAGGTTAAATTACATTTTATAAACCCCACCACTTTTTCCTGAGACAATTATAATATAGATTCTTTTTTCAGTGCTTTCTTCTGTTCACTTGCTGATTCACAGAAGGCTTTGGTTTTCTTCTCAGCTCTCCTACAATGTTAAACGATTTTTAAAGAAATCAAATCTAACACTGTGTATTTTTTTAGTAATGCCACTTTGGATCCTAAGACACCCATCTTCGGACGTTGTGTTGAAAAAAGATTAATGAAACCAGTTTCCCTGGGATGATTACAATCTCTCCAATTAGAGGACTAGTGAGGGGAGCAACAGAGCCATTTCGGGAATGTAATCCCTCCTCCGGCAGGCTCTCAAAGGACACCCAGCTTGATTTTCTCCCTTGGGTGTGTGAGACCAAGGCCAAGAATCAGGTCCTAAGTGGGCTTGTGCTTGGACCACAGCCTTCCAGAACTTGTTATCGCTACGTGTTAGGAGACTGAGCTGTACACCGTCCAGAACTCTAATGAGCTAAGATTCCTCATTAAATGCACTATCGCCGCATCAGACATTTCCCAGCACTCTGGTCCACCCCATGGTCTTAGACATGAAACCTCTGGCCTGAAACCAAGGGACCAGCTACTTGAAATCTAGAAGGTCCAGGAAGGGCCTCCCACAAGGTGCCTAAGCGCATGTCAGCTGATCCCTTGCAGCTTGCTGCTCAAAGTGCGGAGATGAAAAGTCCATCTGGCTTCCCAGAGAGGCTGATTCCCGTCCCTTCACACAGAAAATGTGGGAAGGGAGTGGGGGTGTTTGGGAGCAGGAGAAATGGTCAAAAAATGAGCCCCGAGAAGTTGAGCATCACTCAGAGCTCAGTTCTCTCTGCTTTCACTGGCAAAATAGACACCAGGCAGAGAGGATAACCCGGAGAAGGGCTACGAGGAGAATTTTTCACTGAGGAGAATTTGTTATAATTGCAGAGGGGAGCACTGCTCTAGCCAACCAGCGGCAGAGCTGCAGAAAGGACTTGGAAGCAGGGGTCATGCTGTGAGAATGGATTTCCTGGTTAGGAGCAAAGCGTAGTAACGACGACTTCTATTCATCATGTTTTTGGCAATTACACTGTCATTTCACAGATCAATCCTTCTGCTGCTCTGTAAGGTAAAGGTAAATACTGCCTTCCCCTCCTCCGGAGGAGGGAAGAGAGAGACGCGGCCTAAGTGAGTCATTCAAATTCTCAAGCCTAGCAACTAACCAAGCTACGGCTCATTTACGGAGCCTCTGTCTCCGAAGCCAATGTCCTTGCCATTCTACTAGCTCGGAGCACCGTTCGCAAAGAGGAGCGCTGAACGGGACCCGCACACAGTCTATTCTGGGCCTCTGCAATTTGGTCAGTGTTCACTTGCTCAAATGCCCAGAGTGAAGACTGCTGGAAAGCCAATGACGCGGCATCCGAGTTCACTCACAGGGCACACCACGCCTTCTGATGGAGGCGCCACGCCTGGGCATCTCTCGGCAGGTTGAAACAATACTGTGAGCGCCTTCCCTGGCTCAGGGACTACTTACTCCGCTTCCTCAAAGAGATCCCCAATGTTTTTCAGCGGCTCCGCGGCGGGGCTCTGGGCCAGGATGTCTCTGATCTCGTTGACTTTTTTCTCCACCGAGTCCACCATCTCCCGGTATGGCCCGATCACACCGCTGATCTTCAAGGCCTTGGCTTTCTCCAGGAACTTCTGGGTCCGATTGGTCAACTCGGCGATGATCACGTCCCAGAGAGCAAAACACTGGTGGCAGGGAGTGCAGTCGGGGAAGACCCCCGAGTACCCGCGCGTGCACTTGTCACAGCGTGGACCCTCGACCCCCTCGACGCAGATGCATTGGCCAGTGGACTGGTCACACTGTGGTGTCTCAATGCCCCTGGGGTCACAGTCGCAGGCTGGAAGGGAAACAGCACTGGTGATCCACCAGATCACAGGCCTCCGCGACAAGACTCGGCATGCAGAAGCCGCAGTCACGTGTCTACCAAAGGCTCTGGGAGAGACTAGAGCGGCGGCGTCCTCCAGTCCAGGCATTACCCGGACACTCGATAACCGCTTAGTAACGGTAACACTAGTAATTTTTTTAGGGTGACACTTATCGTGCCTGGCATTGCAGAAATGGTTTACATGCACCGTGTCACTGAACCCTATGGGATAGGTGGCTTGCCCCAAGTCTTACAGCCAGGAAATGGCTGGGCCAGGATTCAAGTTCAGCCTGTTGCAACTCCAGTCTGTGCTCTTAAACTCTGGCCCACCTCTGCCTCCCTTTGACTTTGACTTCCCTGCAGATGCTGTCAGTGCAGACAACTCAGGTGACATCTGACGGCACCAAGGGACAACTCCTAACATCCCTCACCCGACCTGGTCACCAAACAGAATGGCGAATACTTGCTGAAATGCAACAAACTTGATAAAAAGAAAACTCAGTGACCATGAAGTCACAGGCATTCTAAGTATCTAGTTTAAAGGCTTTCAACGAAGTACAGCGTGTGGGTATCTGCCACTGCGAAAACCAGCCCCAGCACTATGAGCACAGGCTCAGGAAGTGTCAGAAGCGAGAGAAGGAACCCGGGAGCCGGTCGGCCCCAACTTCTCACTGGCCCAACCGGGCTGGCATCTTAGAACCAACTGGTAAAGGACCTTGGCTCACATTCCTTATCACACAGTCTGTGCCATTGAATCCTGGCTTAGAGCCCCACATTGCAGGGGATGAACTGATTTTTTTTAAGGATTGATTGATTTATTTTGGGGGGGAGGGGCACAGGGAGAGGGAGAACCTCAAGCCGACTGGCCGAGTGTGGAGCCGGTCACCGGGCTCAGTGTCACAACCCTGAGATCCTGACGTGCGCCCAAGTCAAGAGTCGGACGCTTAACCCACTGAGCCACCCAGGCGCCCCAGGATTAACTTATTTTTATATCAACACTTGATATTTCACAGTATTTGTATAGTGTCTGAAAAACAAAAGGCCCGTACAAACATCTCTGGCCTTAAATCCTTTCGGGGGAAAGGTGGGGGATATAAAAAATATACAAAAAGCCCCCCCCAAACAAATACATTATTCCCCTGAGGATTCCAAGGGTAGGAGTCTATCTGAAACCACAGTTTCCATTGTCAGCACCAAGCACAGGGTTCACTGGCGCTCAACGGTCTTTGCCAACTGAGGTTCTAACTTCATTTTCAGTACAGGCACGCAAGGGACATTTACATACCCCACTAAAACAAAATCATCTTCCTACTCTTAGTCTCAGGAAACAAACTGAGGGTTGCTGGAGTGGTGGGGGCTGGGAGGGATGGGTGGCTGGGTGATGGACATCGGGGAGGGTATGTGCTATGGTGAGCGCTGTGAAGTGTGCAAGACTGTTGAATCACAGACCTGTACCTCTGAAACAAATAATACATTATATGTTAATAAAAAAAACTTAAAAAAAAAAATCATCCTCCTAAAAACGTTTTTTTGACTATGGCAAAACACAACACATTCATGCTCTCGGATAGTGTTGTAAAACCGTCTTGGGTCAAAAGCTGCTTTTGGTCTCCGAAAGTCTTTCTAAGGAAACATCTTCCAGAACCAGTTTCACTGACGGTCCTGAGATTTGCTCACTAGCCTCTACCCTCTAAACCCAGAGAGATGCGCTTGTCGTCCATTCGTGTGACCCTTGCCACAGCCTGCCTTTTATTGCTAGTTTAACCCCTCATTGCCTTCGTTGGCCACTGGCCTCCCCGTTCCCGGGCAGCAGGTCTGAGGAGTGCAGCGGTGGGGTGAGAAGGCTTCGGCTGCCTGGCGGCTGCCCATCCTGCCCCCCCACCCCCCAGCTATGCAACCCTGAGCTGTGCACTGAGGAAACCGAGTCACTGACCTCACACCTGTAAGATGGGGTAATAACTGTATCTACCCCATAGGCTCGCTTTCAGGATATGGAATAGCTTAATTCCAAAGTGCTTAGAGGAATGTCCAGTTCATAGTGAGCGCTCGACGGACAGTTTCATCATCATGACTTTCAGTCAGGCAAGTGTCTGGTAGTTTGCTGCCCAGAGTGAAGCCTGACCACATTTCCACTGGGAAACAAAAAGCTGTCATGGCCTTATGTTTATCTTTGTATACTTGCCAATAACATCATGATTTTTTTCAAAGATTTCAACTATGGAATATTCCAGTCTTCAACTTTTGGGCTGAAAACATAGCATTCCCTTCATGCCTTGGGTTTTCAGAACTAAACTTTTTTTTCCTTATGCATATTGTTTCTTTCCAGGCACTTCTGGCAGTTTGATTTTTCCTATGCTTTTGGGGTCATTCTTACGAGTCAGGGAGCAGCTTGAGCGAGCTGTGAATCACTTCAAGCATGTTCCCTGCACCGTTATTTCTAGGGCATGTTCCTGGAGAGAAGGGTTCTGTGATCAGTAAGTTCAGGAAAGACATTCTCCTCTGGAAGATTCCAAACAAACATCAGCACATTGAAGGCTCAGAGTTCGGCAGGAGAAACCTCGTTTCGTGCCGTTTTTACCCAGTTGTATCCCAAACTCATTTGACCACAGACTCTTTCCCCAGTGGAATAGTGGGAGACACCCAAGAGAAATAATGGGAAAGGTGTCAGAAACTGCTGCTTTCAACAGTTTCTGAGGATCAGAAGAACAGTAAGAAATTTGATGATTAAGAGTTTACATTGTTTACACTTTAGGAATGGATTTCCGATGTCGTTTGGTAAAATTCGGTCATCTTTCAGAAAGCTAGAAGTTACGTGGGTCATCTAGGTCCTAGCCTGTCACACTTGGGCGTACATCGGGATCACCTGGAGGGTCCACTAAACACAGACTGCTTCCCTCCTCCCGTCCCCTCACATTCGAATCCGAATCCGTAGGTCTGGGTGGGACTTGAGAATTTGCATTTCTAACAGTTGCCAAGTGCTTGCTGACCCTCTGTTAGTTCCCCAGCTGTTCTAGCCTTCCTTTTGTATGTTAATGTGTGCTTGTAGGGGTGAGAGAGAAGGGAGGGGAGGGTGAAAA